AGTCGATTCTGGCTCATGGGGACCCCATGCATGCAGAGTCGAACTGCTCCATAGGATTTTCAAGGCTATGACCTTTCAGAAGCAGATTGCCAGGTCTGTCTTCTGAGGCACCTCTGGGTGGCTTTGAACCACCAACCTCTTAAGCTAGTAGTCAAGCACTTAACTGCACCATCCAGGGACGCCTAGGACTATAGCACAGATTCCTTAAATTTCCACATTTTCAAAACTATCTCTTAAAACATAAACTATCTGAAAAATTCAAACTTTCCATTTTTGCTAAGGCACCATCTTTATCTCCATAATGGAAAGCAGTAAGGTTTCAGGTAAGTCACAGGTCATTAAGAACACTCTTATTCTCTTAAGAGAATGTGTAATCTGAGGCTCAGCTTCCTATTGTGGTAATTGCAAAGTAACTAGTAATGTTAAACAAGGAGACATACATAGCCTGTCATATCCATTTGTCACTATTTAAACTGATACCATGCTGTTCATCCACTTGATCATATTGCTGCTTAACCCTAGACACCAGTAACAGATGAGCATAAGCATAGACCAGTGCATCTCTGTCTCCAAATCACAAGATAATGTAATTAAGAGTGGTCCGATTTCCTCTGTTTAAGAGCTGCCATAAATCCCTTGCCTGGTATCAGTTCCCAGGCTTGCAAACCCAGTGCTGCCTACTGTTATGGGCCTTTCAGCTATGTTTGTTGAGCTCAACAGGTGTCTGATGAAAGGTGTGTAATCCTTGAAGATTATCTTCCCCTAAAAGCAGCCAGTGACCCCAAGCTCACATAATGCAGACAGATGAGAGTTGGATATAGCCTGTCAGAGTTTATACTTTTGTGTTTGAGGAAATGGTTTGGTTCCAGGTGGTAGGAGATGGAGGTGTGCAAGGGTGGAAAGTGGCTGCCTTTAAGGAGATACATGCTTAGCCGCATATATGCCCTTGCCTAAGAACGTTATGCCACTTCTGCTTCAGTCTCCAATCTTGAAATATCATTCATTTAAAAGGAAGGATTTTTCATATTTAACAAGAGTTAACCTTGCAGTTATGCTCTGGTAGGGTAGTGCCTAAGGCACTTGACTGCTAACCAGAGGCTGGTAGTTCAAACCCACCAGCTACTCCTCGGAAGGAAGGTTGGGCAATCTACTTCCGTAGTGATACTGCCTCAGAAACCCAAGGAGGGGTCGCTATGAGTCGGGTCCGACTCAACGGCACATAGTAACAACAATCATATAATAATAATAACCTTGCAGTTATTATGTTGGGAGTTAAATTAATTTTGGAATTTGGGTCTGCAAAAACAAATCTTGACCTTGTTCTAGATGCTTCCTTATTCTAATGGATCTGTCTGCATGAAGGCAACACTACCACTTTTTTCTCCCCCAGGGCAAAGACGTAGGGAATCAAGACTAGTTAATAGGACAATTGATTCTCTACTAACTACTGGTAAGCCAACCTTAATGGAAATAGGGTAAATTTGGGTCCCATACCCAAATACAATTATTTAAAATTGCTTACATTGCGTAGACAACACATTGTTCTTGTTTTTCCTTTAAGCAAACATCTTTATAACCTTTTGAATTAAAGTGTGTGGCCCATACACTGAAACTCAGACCTCACCTTCCACTGGGTAAGTCATTCCACTGCAGCTAAAAATGAAGCCAGGTTTCGCTAGTATCAGATAGTTGATTTGGGTGAGAGGTTTATGGACTAGTCAATTTTCAATTATAAGTCTCCTGATCATGGGGTAAGTGCTGTTCACCAGCACCTCTCGCTCCACAATTTAAAGGGAATACTTTTCATCAGCAATTAACTATACTGCAACTACTGGGATTTGTCCTCCAAACATCACTTTGTTTTTGGTCTGAAACAGCCAAGTTTCCCCACGGATAGATAGTTCAGGTTTTCTAATTGAAAGTATCCTGAGTTAAGAAGAAGTATTAGAGCACTATGGGAATCTATTCACCAGGGGTGTATTGTACTTGTTTCAGATGCTTCAGGATAATACACCGGCTTCCAAGATAAGTGCTTTTTATTTCCCTGCATCTTAGATCAATTATTTGGAATCTTTTTGGTAAGTTAATTTAAGAGCTGTAACTTAACCACATCTCTGTAATTAATTACTCAGTAAATATAATGTTCTTACCAAAAATTATTCTGCAATCTGCTATAAAGCAATTAAGATTTGAGGAGCCTGGAAAAAATAGAAAGAAACAAAAAGTGACAAGAAATTATGAGGGCAAGTGCCTACTGCAGACAGAATTTAAATAATAGATTGCATCCACCTAGTACATACCTGGAGTAGATGTGACACACATTGTTTTCTGAGCTGTATGTTTCAACAGGATTAGAAGTTTACCCTTGGTCATTTTGATTGTTGAAATAGATTCCATCAAAAATTTTTCCTCCAGAAGACTGTGTGGCCTGACAAATGGCTCTTGGCCCAAGTGTGAGTTTCTTGCTGGTCTCATTAGTCAGATAGAAGAAGAGATGAACAGCAGGTAACACAGTGACACCTCCAGACAGTGGCATTTTGAGATCTGTGATGTTGGTGCTTGTCATCCCTGAAAACCTGCTTGGTGTTTTCTGGTTGGAGTTTTGCTTTGCAGTTTTTTCTCCCCATACCCAGGAAAGTATTGCTTCTGGTTTGTTGGCATCCTCCACTATACCTTCACTTCCATAGTCTGAGGGTGTTTGCATTGAGAGACAGATGGGCTCAGTATGCCCACACACTTCAGGGCTCATTGCCCTGCTGCTACCTCCCTCTCCCCTCAGGTCCCAGGACTCTTCCATGTCAGTGTCAGTCTGAGGAAACCTCCCAGGAGATAGTTACCTACCATAGTATGGGTAGCAAATGCTGAAAGGCCTGTGCCTGAGTGCTCTCCACAGATACTAACCAAAGTGGCCTAACTCATTTAGGCTCAGGCCCTGATATGATGTATCTGTATTTTGTCAGGGTGTGCAAACCTGAACAGCTGTGTAAAATACGCTTTTTCAGGATTCTGGCTATTGCCTTATAGCCCAGAGCAGAAACTGTGGGAAGGGAAGGCAGAACAAAGAAATCTGTGTGTGTTCTTGGTAAGGTAGCCTATCACATGGGGGACATAAAGTAGGGAGGACATGTACCACCTTCTGACCACTTGAGTTGTACAGAAATTCTCCTGTTAGGCTAAGAGGGAGACTTCCTTTCCCCATCTGTGGGGCTCAGATAAGAACCACTGGGGGCCTGGGGAATTTCACAGTCACTGCAGGGTGCTTTTAATTGAGGGATCTCATGGACAAAAGGGGGCAGTTCCATATCCACCGTTCTATGGTTCTTTCCCCCCAGGAGTGCAGAGCTGGGACCTCCAGCCAACTGAGTAAATATCTCAGCATGTGCCAAGCACTTAGGAGGCAGATGACATGCGCCAATTTTCTGTGTTCTGAGGTTTGGGCACCCTTCGTATTTTGGCAACAGAGAGCTAGTCTCCATATTGACAGGGCTTGATATGGGCTGGATTCAGCACAGTGGCCGTCAGTGTTAGCACTGCTATCGAAAGCTTCTGTGTACAGCCAAATGACATGTCGACAGTGGTTTGACTGTAAAATTATGTGGTGCTTGTTTGCATGCAAATACTTTGCACTTAAACATGAGTTAAGGAGACAAATATGTCAAAAGACTTTAGCAAAACCTTAAAGTAAAATTTATGCCTATTCTTTATAATGGCATTCATAGTGAAATCCTTAAAATGCAAAATGCTATAGTTATACCATTCTGTGATTCAGGTTAGATTTCTTACTCTGTATTTCTACATTATTTGCAGTGATTTTGAGAGGTACGAAAATGCATGGAAAGCATTTGATTTCTCCTTGTAACAAAAAATCCAAAACTGAGAAAATTCTTGAGAATGCAGCCATTTTGGAAATGTAGATAAAGAAGAAAAATGCTGAAGATTTGGGTGGTTTACAAAGCAGCATGATTTTGTAATTGCTGCCACCTACTGTATGTGGTTGATTTCTTAAATTTGTTTAAATTTAAGAAGTTCATGAAGACTGTTGAAATAGATAATTAGTGCAAGGTAGACATCATTAGTTTATAACATTTCTTCTCTACTCCATAAGTGGCTCTTAATTACTGAGACAGCCGCCAGCTTTCATTCATTATCTTCAAGTGGATTTAAAGTTTTTCTCATTTTAAACTTCCTCTGCCAAGGAACCTTCACGGTAATGCTGTAGGATGCACATTCAGAAGCTTAGCATGCTCAGGGGTTTTCTGAGTGCTGTATACATGAAACAGTTCGTTTTAAGAAGGCCTTTTTTTTTTCCTTTTGCTATTTGGTGTTTTGTTTTTAATTTGTAGGAGCAATGTTCTGGGGTTGGATTATAAATTAATTTCCATGAGAGAGGTGAAAATAGAGCTAGAGGAGCTGCTGTGAAATGCAGCAGTTGACTTAAAAGACATTCTTTTATTAGTCCTGAAACAAAGCTTCACATCAGCCTGCTAGTTAAATGTAACAAGCAATATAGAATCTGAGTCACCAGAGGCCCTTCTCTTTTTATTAAGACCCAGCTGTCAAAGGGTCATTAGGTCCTTCCTGTGTAAAACAACTTGCCCATTAATGTTTGGGGTGGTCCCTCAATAGGATTTCTGACTGAGTGCCTGACATTTAGTTTCTGAAACAGTCTAAAGCTGGTGGAAGTCTTGGATGTTCAGACTTATCAGAAGCAGTGTCTCTAACCTTTAGCTTTTAGTCTCTTTTAAATATGCCATAATGTACTTTTGCAATGCTGATGCTAGATGCATGAATTGACTTAACAGTACCAGTCTAAAAGATTTAGAAGCATAAACTTCATGGAGATCAAATCACTAAGACTGGGAAGAGACTATATGCATAAAATTAATGCACTTCCCTGATATTTTGTTTTTACCTTGTTGCTACTTATGTTCTAGTGGTCCCTGTTCCAAGTTCTCGAGATACCACAGTGAGGTAGACTTTTGCTTTTTGTTCTGCCCTAGGCTATTTGCTTTCTAGAAGGGAAGGCCAAGCAGGATCTCCTGAAAAGCCGCTTTCTGATCTGGGCCGTCTCTCCTACCTGGCCTATTGGAAGAGTGTCATCTTAGAATATCTCTACCACCACCACGAGAGGCACATCAGCATCAAGGCAATAAGCAGAGCTACTGGCATGTGCCCGCACGACATCGCTACCACTCTGCAGCACCTCCACATGATTGACAAGCGAGATGGCAGGTGAGTCCTGGGGCCTGGAAGACAGCACGGCTCACACCAAAACGGGCCTCTGGAGGCTAGATGGAGTCATTCCAGTTAAAGATGAAACTGGTTGCCATTGAGTCAGTTTCGATGCATGGCAACCCATGTGTGTCAGAGTAGAAGAGTACTCCATAGTTTTGAGTGGCTGATTTCCACCACCACCACCACCACCACCACCCCCACACCCCCACCCCTGAAAGTAGGTTGCCTCTAGGTGGACTTGAACCTCCAATCTTTTGGTAGCGGCTCAGCTGTTAACCATTTGCACCACCTAGGGATTCCAGTTAAAGAGAAGTAGTTCTCTGATGATATTTAAATCTTTTTCTTAAAAAGAGAACACACAATGACACATTTTTTGCTAGCTGAACATCAGTTTGCTCTACCTTTTCATTGCTTCATTTTCTTATTTTTCCTAAGGTAGGTAATAGTAGTGTTATCATATATCAGTATGTGAAGGTGAAATAAAATTTCAGCTTTGATTGCACTTTGTTTTGCCTCATCATATTACAGATTTGTCATCATTAGAAGGGAAAAGTTGATATTGAGCCACATGGAAAAGCTGAAAACCTGTTCCCGGGCCAATGAACTTGATCCAGAGAGTCTGAGATGGACCCCAATTTTAATTTCTAATGCTGCAGTTTCTGAAGAAGAGAGAGAAGCTGAAAAAGAGGTAATGATTGCCTTCATCAGCCTACGTTGTGCGACTTCAATCTTGTAGCATTCTTAAGCTAAGAAAGTCATTAACATCATTGTCAAAAGCTTGGTTATGTAGAAAAGAGCTTGTGAAATGATATGGCACTAATTTATCCTAACTGAGGTTGCATGGTAAGATAATGTTATTGAATTGAGTATGAGAAATGAAACATTTATCATTGATCACAAAACAGCATTTTTCACTACTGACAGCATGTAATCAGATCAAATTTGGTGCTGAGCTCCAAGGCTGCAGTGTCAATCGATTCTTTGTGTTTATGAACTTGCTTAAAGTGCTCCATGCCAGTGAGCATGTAATGTAGTGATAAAGGACTCAAATCAATTCGCTGCATCGTTAATAGTGCTAAATATCCCATGAAACCCAATCTTCTTTGATTTGTTATCCTAACTGATGCAAAAGGGTCCTGGGATGATGCAGCTGGGATGGTCCTTGGCCAGCTGTCCTGATCAGAAACGACTTAGAGATCATTTGCCATTGATCCTTAGAGGCTCTGGCTGTGGTACTGCCCTCACTGGCCTACCGTTTTTACCCTTCCCCCACTTAGGCTGAGCGACTAATGGAACAAGCTAGCTGCTGGGAAAAGGAGGAGCAAGAAATGCTGTCATCTAGAGTTAACAGTAGGCAATCACCTGCAAAAGTACAATCGAAAAACAAATATTTACATTCCCTGGAGAGCCGGCCAGTGGCAGCGGATCGAGGACAGCTGATGGAGCTGTCTAAAGAGAGCAGTGAAGAAGAGGATGAGGAAGAAGATGAGGAAGAAGAGGAGGAAGAAGAGGAAGAAGAAGAAGAGGAGGAGGAGGAAGAGGAAGAAGAAGAAAATATTCAAAGCTCGCCTCCAAGACTGACTAAACCACAGTCAGTTGCCATAAAGAGAAAGGTATGTGTCTGTTGAGATTGTCAGTTTGTGAGTCAATTTTAATTGAATTTTAAATTTGTCACTGCAAACATTCTGTTAGGATTTGTTTCACTCTCTAGTCCTCAGATACAGTATATGTGTGTATTCAGTCCCACTGATCATGTATCATAATCGTTTATCTTCCAGTCATGATGATGTTTACTTTTTAAGGTTGGTTAATGCTGTGATGAGGAAATCAATGACAGGTCAGCTTCCTAATTTAGTAGTTACCGCCACCTGCTGGTTTGCAGTGAAGTAGTAGGGAGATCAGGTTATGGAAATATTAAGAGGTTTTGGAGATCATGTAAACTACCCTTCAGCAAATTTTGATGAAAACAGCAAGGCCTAAAGAGGCCAAGAGACTTGTCCGAGGTCAGACAGCTCATTAGAGATGGAGCTAGGACCAAGCCCAGTGTTCCTGGTGCAGTTTCTTGTTCTTACTCTTGACATTTGTTAGAAGGTATTTTAGGTCCTTGATTTGATGCTAATATTTTGATTTTGTGGCCAACTACACATTACTGAAATTTTTTGTTTGTTCTTTAAACTTTTTATTTTGATTTGGATGAAAGTTGACAGAGCAAATTTGTTTTCCATTCAACAACAGTTCATACATGTTTTGTGACAATTATTGCTATCCCTACAATGTAATAGCTGTCTTTCCACTTCCTCCCTGTGGTTACCTTTTCTCTGTGTCCTTCTTTCCCATGCATTCCTGCCCTCTGAGCTGTTTTCATATGCAAATGATGCCCTTCTGATCTCCTATGGTTGACTGTCCCCCTCTACCCAGGATATTCCAATTTTAATCTCTTTCTAAGTATTTGGCAGTGATAGCCAGGCACCATCTAGTTCTTTTGGTCTCAGGATCATGTAGGCTAAGGTTCCCGTGGTCCACTAGTTTGGACTGATTGTTTCCATGCATCTCTGATTTTCTTCATTTTTCCTTCCTCTGCATGAGGAAAGACCAATTGTTAGGCCTTAGATGGATGCTTGCAAGCTTTTAAGACCACAGTCGCTTCTCACCAAATAAGGATATGTTGTTGTTGTTATGTGCCTTCGAGTCGGACCTGACTCACAGCGACCCTTCCTTGGGTTTCCAAGGCAGTATCACTACGGAAGTAGATTACCCAACCTTCCTTCCGAGGAGTGGCTGGTGGGTTTGAACCTCCAGCCTTCTGGTTAGCAGTCAAGTGCCTTAGGCACTATGCTACTAGAGCTCCTAACATTAGGATATAGAACAATGTTTTTGTGTAGTATGTTAAGCCAATTGAGTTTGCTGTCCCCCATGACTATGTTCCCTAGCCCGTAGGCTCAGCGACTCACTCCCTCATGGTATTTAGTTGTGGCAAAGAAGTTATCATAACTTTGCCCCTTTTAGCTCTATTATATATAAGGATATTCTTATAGCACATATCAATATGTATGTAGAAATATCATCTGCCAAACCTATAGTCATGGGTATATTCCTGTTTGCCTATATAAACCTGGTTATCCTGCCTGTCTACCTATGTATCCACCTGTAGATTAATGCTTCTTATTACTGATAATGCAGTATTGTGTATGTAAAAGTATTTCCCTTCGTGTCTGTACCTCTTGTGCGCTTCTCTGTGTCTTCCTTTTCCTTGGTGTTACTGTGTTGGTACCCACTCTTGGTATATTGCCTTTCTCTTCAACCAAATCAATACTTGTCTCTTACCTAGCCAGCAGTTTTCCTTCCCCTCCCCTCCAATCCTTGGTAACCAACAAAGGTGTGTAAACCTTTCCTTGGCTCTCTATAATAGTGGATGCATACAATATTTGTCCTTCTATGATCGACTGACTTCACTCAGCATAATATTCTCCAAGTTCACCTACATTATAAGGTATTTTGCCAATTCTTCATGATCCTTAATGTTGCTTAGTATTCTGCTGTGTATGTACCATAGTTTGGTTATCCATTCAGCTCTTGATGGAAACTTAGGTTGTTTTCATCACATTACTGAATAATTTCTCATATCTTGTTAGCCTGGTGGTTTCTCCAGATATACCCCCCATCATCTCCAATGATATAAAGAAGGTAAAAAATTGATTTTGTCTTTATGTAATGGCTCAATCTGATAACTTTGATCATAATATCTATCTGTGATATAGAGAGAGGCAAGATATTATTAGTATAACCAAAACCAGTAGAGATAATGATAACTAAGTTAAAGGTTCTACCCCAAGGCCATTCTATGTGGTATCTGTTAAGGAATTTGCTATTTTAACTCCTGGCTCAGTCCTCTCTTCTCAGCCTGGCAGTCTTCTAGTCCAAGAGCAGCTGTGGGGACATAGTGGAAAAACACCAAAAAAAAGAATCATCTAAGGCATGATATGGACTGCCCTCATATAAATGGACTCAACCTTCAGAAAACCAGTTCTTTACGGTGTCTGCAGTTATGTTTGGGAAAACTTCAGTGGATTAGGGAGGGCAGGGAGGCAGAGGGATTTAATAACCATATTGTGTTAAATGATAGAATATGGTTATCAGGTTTATATGTATGCTTCAGTGAGCATTAAGAGAGTTAAAATTTTAAGACAATAATTCTTGGATATTTTACCTAGGGTTTGAATTTTAATCAAGCAATATTGAATCCTTCTTATATCTTCAACAATTTTGTGCTCACTATTGACAGATAATATTTTAGTAGCAATTCTACCCGTCATTCCCATATTTGAATTTAGTATCATTAAATAATTTTTGGTTGGGAAAAATATTTTGTAACTGCAATTAAGTGAGCCACTGGTGCCAACATTTAATGCAAATAGAGAAAACATTTTTTATATCTTATATAAATAAGACAGATCTTATGTATCTCTTAACTTTTTTTTAAGTACCTTCTATATTAAAGTATTTTGCAAAATTATCAGCTGCTCATATCACAGCATATATTGGGATACCTGACACCATCAACATTTTAAACAGTTGAGTAATCCTTTCTTTTTAAGTACCCTTTTCTCTCTTTCCTTTTTATAGATCATAAAGTCCTGTGAAATTGGGAACAAGTAGGTTACTGCTTTACAGATAGTACATGCTTCTCAAGTACCAAATGAGTGACCCAGTGGCTAGTTCATTATTGCAACATTCATAGGAACGCTGGTGTCCTCAATGACCTTTAATATCTATGATGTGCTGTAAGACCTCAGATACTGAAGCCAGCAAATGTCATTCAAAAAATAGAAAAGCAGAGGTTAGCTTTAAAAATCTACAGTTAAGCTGTTAGGATGTTACCTCTCAAAGCATCTGCTTGAGTAAACAACTGTTTTATTTGGAAATACTTTCCTGTGTAGTTGGAACCCAAGAGGGATGTTAAACATCAAATGGAAGGTTAAGTACAAAAGCATTACAAAAGTCTTTATGTGTAAGATTCCCAGACATGCATTCAGTACATGTTTGCTGCATAGCAACTCAACCACTTAATTTCTCATGAGCACTTATGTATTATGTTTGGAATTAATTTCAGAGGCCTTTTGTACTAAAGAAGAAAAGGGGTCGAAAACGCAGGAGGATCAACAGCAGTGTAACAACTGAGACCATTTCTGAGACAACAGAAGTATTGAATGAGCCTTTTGACAACTCAGATGAAGAGAGGCCAATGCCACAGCTGGAACCTACCTGTGAGATTGACATAGAAGAAGATGGCTTGAAGCCAGTCATGAGAAAAGCATTCGAACTTCAGCCTGGGATGAAAAGACAAACAGAGGAAGAGGAGGGAAAAGACAATCATTGTTTTAAGAATGCTGACCCTTGTAGAAGTAAGTGGAGGAATTTTAGAAATCTTACGCTTATGAGAGTCTGTATATGACTTGGTGCCAAAAAGCAGACTCCTGGAATTGTACCCAAAGGTATCTTTGGGGTTTTATTTGATCCATGTGAAATAAATGCTCATCTCTCCTTGCTCATTCCTAAAAGGTTCTATCCCTTCTTCCTGGAAATTGGATTTAAATTAAACAACTTCTAAGTCCAGAACATTCCTCTAGGTGTGTTAATCTTACTTTCCAGAAATTGATTTATCCCTGAAAACTTTGAAATCTGCCAGTAAGAAGGACACTGCATTTCCTTAATTCTAATATGTCCTTTTTTTCACATTTAGTATTTCTGAAATCAGAGTACATATTTTATCAATGTGAGCATTAAATACAATGGTTTCTTCTGTCCTAGAAAACAGACACTAGTAAGCTGATGGTGTGTTTTATAATCAGTATTGTCTTGTTGTTGCTATGTGCTGTCGAGTTGGCCCCAACTCATAGTGTGACCCCTCCTTGGGTTTCCGAGGCAGTATCACTACAGAAGTAGATTGCCCCATCTTCCTTCCGAGGAGTGCCTGGTGGGTTTGAACCACCAGCCTTCTGGTTAGCAGTCAAGTGCCTTAGGCACTGTGCTACCAGAGCTCCTCAAGATTGTCTTAGGTATATTACTATCTAGAATCATTAAAACTTAGCCATATCTTCTGTATTAGCTCTGAGAGTATAGGATTTTGAAAGAAATCAGGAGATTGTCCTTCCATTTAAATCATTGTTTTACAGTTTGCTCTTGACAAGGATACACTGACCCTATCATCTAAAAAAACAGTAAGCGTTGTGAATTGTATTTGGTGTCCTGTATGAAAGCAGCCACCCCTTGTCTGTCAAGTTGGGAACTTGGGCTCCCAGCTGAATAACAAGGATTTGTAGGAGGATCTCTGCCCACTCTACAACTAAAATGACTTCATTCAAAAATGTATTTTATTCCAAGTCATCGTATAACCACAAGTATCACTCTAGCTTTTAAAAAGCTACAATTCCAAGAACATAATCAAGAAAGCATCTTTTTTACTTTCTTAATTAATAGGAATACTGTTCCCCACATACAGTGTTTGGCTAAGAGAATCATATCTTACCCTGGGTACAGAGAGATCAAACCTTATTCTTTAGTTTCTTTAAACAAACAAATGTACAAACAACAACGAGAAACTGCAGAGAGGTCATCTGTGTGTGTGTGTCTGTGTCTGTGTGTGTGTGTAAATTGAGCCATATTTCCCCTTCTTGGCTGTCTTCTCAAGAGCCTATCAGTGATCCTTGCAGCCTTCATTTCCTACTTTGTGCCATTTGCTTTTAAAAATTCTAAGTGGCTTTCAGGATCTTTTCCTTAAAAATGATATTCAGAAAACTCATCTTCTGATTTAGGGAGGAGGTGTTCCTACAAAGGCTGGTAGGTCCAGTAGCATCTGTAATAAAATGGGGCACTGGCCATGGTTATTGCCTTTCTGTATGAATAGAAATGAAAAAGTGTGAAAATCTTGGGGATGACCGTTACTAGGCTATTATTGTTGGCACTTCTGGAGGAATCATTCTACATTGCATATATTCATTCTTTCAGCTACCCATTTTGAATGTATTATTCGAAGGTAAGTTTATGTGTAATCCTTTTATCATGTAAATGAGCTAAGAACTTAACCTGCTATGTATGTACTGATGGATTGGAAATCACTCCATTCTGGCAAAAGGGATAGCTCTTCCTCATTGACTATTAGATCTTATTTATGTTCTCTGAAATAGGGCTTTGAATAAGACTGTTGCTCCTTGTAAAGCTTTTCCTTTAGAGTGACTCCTCCAAGAAATTCATGTGGTCTTTCATTTTTAGAGATTTTAAGACTTGGGTGTTTTATGTGTGTATTTATTTATTTTATATATTTATATATATTTCCATATTTGTTTACATTTATATCAGTATGTACAGTATAAATAAGGCTAGCAGAACTGAAAAGAACTTTACATTTGAGCAGCAAACTGCTACAGATAGCACTATGGACAGAATTAGTAATAAGAATAGCTGTATTTTTAAAAGTTTGGTAATTACACTAAATACCTTGCAGTGAAAAAGATAATCCTATAGTAGATTACAGATGCATTTGTGTATCAGGTATAAATTATTTTATACTAATTTGTGTCTGGTATTAGTTTTTATTATTAGTTTGTTCCACAGATTTTTTTTTAATGCTGGAGAGAGCATTTAAATTGAAGTAAATAATGTCACCTGCTATCATTTAAACTCCGTAAATGTCCACAAGCAGAAATGTACTTTCTCAGGGTAAAAGCACAAGTCAGGTTTTTAGTCACTTCTCCAACAGAGTGGTGATTAGGATGTGAACTGTTGCTTGTTTTCCCTAATTTGTAAATGTTCAAATTGATTTTTCTACATTGTGGAACTCCAGGCTTTTACATCAGAACAACGTCTGTTTGTTAAACTCTTAAGTTTACTATAGTTGCCTATATCCTGTGCTCTCAATAAAAAGCACAGCTTTCTATTCAGGGGTGTGTGTGTGTAATATTGTTTTCCCAGGCTAGGTTATACTTTGTTTATACCACAATATTATTCTGCATTAATCTTGGTTATGTATTTACTACCAACTCTTAAAATGTTAAATTGAAGGCTTGATTAATTTAGAGGAATAAATTCAAGTTGTTCATGGTTATGCTTTCTAAGACTTTTTTCTTTCTTTCTCCCCATCTTCTCTGTCTCCTTACTAAGACAATATAGATGATGATGCAGATAACTTGAAAGAAGGCAGTAAAGACAATCTTGAATCTCTAAAGTGCAAACAAGTGTGGCCAAAAGGAACAAAGCGTGGTCTGTCTAAGTGGAGGCAAAACAAAGAGAGGAAAACTGGATTTAAACTGAACTTGTACACCCCGCCAGAAACACCCATGGAACCCGATGACCAGGTCACAGTGGAAGAACAGAAGGAGACTTTAGAAGACAAAACCAGCCCCACCCCCATCGGGATTGAGGAGGAGGCCAAGGAAACTATGGAACCCCTGCTGCCTCAGGATGAAAACAGGGAAGAAACATGTGCCCCTATAAGTCCAAATAAATCACCAGGTGAAAAACCAGAAGATGATCTAACCAAACCTGAGGAAGAAGAGGAGGAGGATGAGGAAGAAGAGGAAGAAGAAGAAGAAAGGAATGTAGAAAAAGACCCAGACAGTGCTAAAAATGAGGACAAAGAGGAACCAGAAATATCCATGGAAAAAGAGGATCCTGTGCATTTGGATGATCATGAAGAGGAGGAGGAAGAGGATGAAGAGCCATCTCACAATGAGGACCATGATGCAGATGATGAAGATGACAGTCACATGGAGTCTGCTGAAGCAGAGAAGGAAGAATTCCCAAGAGAAACCTTCAAGGAAGTACTGGAGAACCAGGAGGCTTTTTTAGACCTTAGTGTTCAGCCTAGTCATTCAAATCCAGAGGTTTTAATGGACTGTGGTGTTGACCTTGCAGCCTCATGTAACAGTGAACCGAAGGAGCTTGCTGGGGACACTGAAACTGCACCTGAATCTGATGAGGAGCCCCCAGAAGAACAGGCCCAGAAGCAGGACCAACAGGACAGTGAAGAAGTAGGTTCTGAGTTCAAAGGAGGAAATACAGCAACCATGGAAATTGACTCTGAGACTGTCCAGGCAGTTCAGTCTTTGACCCAGGAGAACAGTGAACAGGATGACACCTTTCAGGATTGTGCTGAGACTCAAGAGGCTTGTAGAAGCCTACAGAGCTACACCCACGCAGACCAAAGTCCACAGATCGCCACCGCTCTGGATGATTGCCAGCAGTCAGACCACAGTAGCCCAGTTTCATCCGTCCATTCCCATCCTGGCCAGTCGGTACGTTCTGTAAACAGCCCAAGTGTCCCTGCCCTAGAAAACAGCTATGCCCAAATCAGCCCAGATCAAAGTGCCATCTCCGTGCCGTCTTTGCAGAACATGGAAACCAGCCCAATGATGGATGTTCCATCTGTTTCAGATCATTCGCAGCAAGTTGTAGACAGTGGCTTTAGTGACCTGGGCAGTATCGAGAGCACAACTGAGAACTATGAAAACCCAAGCAGCTATGATTCTACTATGGGTGGCAGCATTTGTGGAAATGGCTCTTCACAGAACAGCTGCTCCTATAGCAACCTCACCTCTAGCAATCTGACACAGAGCAGCTGTGCTGTCACCCAGCAGATGTCCAACATCAGTGGGAGCTGCAGCATGCTACAGCAAACCAGCATCAGTTCTCCCCCGACCTGCGGCGTCAAGTCTCCTCAGGGCTGTGTGGTGGAGAGGCCTCCAAGCAGCAGCCAGCAGCTGGCTCAGTGCAGCATGGCTGCTAACTTCACCCCACCCATGCAGCTGGCTGAGATCCCCGAGACGGGCAATGCCAACATTGGCTTATATGAACGGATGGGTCAAAGTGATTTTGGGGCTGGACATTATCCACAGCCATCAGCCACCTTCAGCCTTGCCAAACTACAGCAGTTAACTAATACACTTATTGATCATTCATTGCCTTACAGCCATTCCGCTGCTGTAACTTCCTATGCAAACAGTGCCTCTTTGTCCACACCATTAAGTAACACAGGGCTTGTTCAGCTTTCTCAGTCTCCACACTCTGTCCCTGGGGGACCCCAAGCACAAGCTACCATGACCCCACCCCCCAATCTGACTCCTCCTCCAATGAATCTGCCACCGCCTCTTTTGCAACGGAACATGGCTGCATCAAATATTGGCATCTCCCACAGCCAAAGACTGCAAACTCAGATTGCCAGCAAGGGGCACGTCTCCATGAGAACCAAATCGGCATCTCTTTCACCAGCTGCTGCCACCCATCAGTCACAAATCTATGGGCGCTCCCAGACTGTAGCCATGCAGGGTCCTGCACGGACTTTAACAATGCAAAGAGGCATGAACATGAGTGTGAACCTGATGCCCGCCCCAGCCTACAATGTCAACTCTGTGAACATGAACATGAACACTCTCAATGCCATGAATGGATACAGCATGTCCCAGCCAATGATGAACAGTGGCTACCACAGCAACCATGGCTACATGAATCAAACACCCCAATACCCTATGCAGATGCAGATGGGCATGATGGGAACCCAGCCATATGCCCAGCAGCCAATGCAGACCCCACCCCATGGTAACATGATGTACACGGCCCCTGGTCACCATGGCTACATGAACACAGGCATGTCCAAACAATCTCTCAATGGGTCCTACATGAGAAGGTAGGCAACATGGGCAGTCACAGAACCCCATGGGCTCACTATCGGATTGATCTGCACAAATACCTTTGAAGAGTACGATTTCAAAACCAGCAATTGGTGTGAATGCAAAAACTTTTGTTGGCACCATTTATTTAAAAAAAAAAAAAAAAGCTGTATGCAGCAGAAAGCCTTATACAAGTTGTTTTTCTTTTTTTCCTTTTTCTTTTTTGGTATCTTTGTTTCTGTTACTTTTATATAAAATTCTCTGCAAAGGAAGGCCTCTCCTTGGACTACAGTTTGGAGGCAGCCACTTGCTGTGCCTGCTCCCATTAAACAGTGTGGATATCAAGTCCCCCAAATTATCTGTTTTAATACTGAACCTATAGCTTTTTTTTTGTCCCCCTTCCCTGTCCGCTCCATGTAAATGCCTTTAGCATTTCAGTTATTGTATATTTTGTTTAAGGTGACACTTGAGCATGCCGCTAATGTCTTTGTTAGTGACAGTGCATTTTGTAGTACTGTACAAGTGTTGTGCTAACAGTAAGCCATTTCTTAAGTTTTTTGCCTTGATTAGGGTGCCCTGATTTGAGGGTGGAAAAAAAAAAAAAACACCTATATTTTTGTTAATTATAAAACTGTAAAGAGCTATAAAAGCTATTCCCATTTGGTTAGTCAAAAGGGTTTTATTGCTAAATGTTTGGTGTAAAGTTGAGACCCTTTTTCCATTTTGGTGACAGATTTCTTTGGGGAAAAAAGGCAGCTTTCTGTTTTATAAATGCAGACTTCTGTTTATTGAATGAAGCATATCTCAGTGTTTATCTGTCAGGTTTTGAAACATTTCATATATGTCCAAATACTTGGCAGGATTAAAAAAAAATAGTGAATTTGGTGTAAAGTTGCTATTTTATGGAAATGCCTCTAACTTTACATTTTCATTCCATCTGTAGATTTTTCTATCTTTATAAAATATTGGAGTTATTTTTTAAGGAAAAATAGAAAAGTAGCTTGTGAATAGCTCAAACTAAGCTTACAAATCGCATGTAAAAAAGCAAAAAAGTTATTTGTGTCTGTTTATATTGCTTCCTTTTTTGTAGCCTTTGTACCTGTACAGGGTGACTGTAAGGGCCAAGCAGAAGAGGCGTAATCCTTGTAAAAAATAGGCGCCAGCGACACTTGTATTTATCTGTTCTCTTTTTAGTCAGTCACTTCAAAAAAAAAATCAAAAAACAAAAAAATAAAAAAAGCTGTACATTTTAACATAAAATAAATTATGATGAGCCATTTTTAGCCTCTTGTGTCCTGTCATATTATGATTGATAGAGAATGACAAACTGAACTGTATCATGTGTCACATCTCAGAACACATACACATTTTGGGAAAATAAATTATTTAGTGTAAATTGGAGTTAAGAGATTTTCTGATTTGTTTTGACTTTGGGGGGATGGCAATAAATAAGAGTAATATCTAATAAAACCATCACATATACCAAATACCTATTTAATAAATTAATTTATAATGGATTTTAATGCTTTTCATGAAAGTTTATTTTATGCTAGTGCATACCTTCTGTATGCCAATCATTGTCTTTAAAATAAAGTGAATTTGTTTTTTTCTTTTGGACTTTGATCTTCATTTGCCAAGGAATCCCGAACAAATACCAAGTTGCCTCTGTTCACACAGTCTGTATAAATATCCCTCAGGGCCTAGTACAGTGGTAGCAAACTTCATTTTTATAGAGATTAATATAGAAAAGCAACCATTTTGGGATAGTATGTTTGAAAATCATTTTCTTTAAAAAAGTGTGAAAGTTCACTCTGCTGTGAATGAATGACTGTATGTTTTTTTTAGATTATGAAGTTTAGACATAAAAAGTGAATGTTCACATTTATTTTATAGTGTTCATAGAAAGTTCTGCCTGAGTGTTAAAATATTTGATTGTTCAAACAACAAGTCTAGAAATGAATGCTTGGCTTGGCATCCACGTGACACCAACGCATAACACTCTCAACATGTCTAAACAGGAGTACTCACAACTCTCCTGGGAAGCAGGTGTATACTTTTATGCCTTTTGGAAGAAGAAAAGTTAATTTTTCATTGGTGGTTCAACACACACAATCAGGTGGTGTACAGATCATAACACAAACCTTAAAAGTAGATTCAAAATAAACTCTGAAAAGACAAGCAAGTGAATAAACAAACACACGCATGGGAAAGGCCTGTGAGGATGGAAGATGCCCAACTGGTTTTGCCTTGTGCTCTTGCCCTTGTCAATTTTCTTCATAGTTTACAAAGCTTACTGGGCCAAGTACCAAGATTTTATGTTTATAAAATGTTTTAGTACCTTCCTTGTACAGCTGTAAAGCCAACGGGGAGATACCTGTAGTGGCTGAGGGAGAGCTTCAAAGAAAAGGCATCTAAAGGGTTGTCTTTGAAAAGGGGACAAGAGAACCTTTAAGGTGCTGGGCTGGAAAGAAGGAAAACCTCTCAGCCATCTTAGGTGGGAAGCAATGAACTTTATCCCCCAGGCTTATGGGATTCATGTGCTGCTTGCATGAATGAATAGGTGCCATCATTTCAGGAGCAGCCAAGGATCTGGGCAGCCCATCAGGTCCACACATCAGGCAAGAGGCTGCCTAAGCCTGGGAGGTGGGGTGGGATAGGGCCTGCTTAGCATCTGATCAGGAAGCCACTCAACCTCCCACAGGTTTTGTCTCAACTCTTGGAAGCTGAGCATATTATCCCTTTCCTGTTATGTTAAGCTTCTTTGTTGTGTTCTCTGAGATTCTTCTCTGTGTTTCCTCTAGAAACGGATTGTTGACACAACCTCTGGTTGTGTGATGTCTAGGCTCCGTGGCCCCCACAGTTGGCCTGTCTTACAACACTCTAGGGGATATGGGGACAAGTCCCAGTCGCTGCCACAGACCTGCCAAACCAAATCTCAGAGCAGTACATGGGACTTCTTGTGTCCCCATAGGCTCCCAGTGACACTGCAGCACAGCCAGGCACAGGAGCCCCTCTGCTGTCCTTGGGCCCCAACAGTCCTTAAGAGAACAGAAAGCTTAGGAGAGAGAGTGCTAATCGGAGCTGGCCGCAGAATGCCCTAGACTCCAAAGCATACTTACCCACCCTCACTGGAGGAATTGGTTCAGACCTAAATGTGACACCAGGGATCCTGAAACCAGGAACTTGGATTCATCAGGACTGCATTGTAGTCACCATTAGGGTGAGATTCAATTAAACCAAAAACCAAACTCACTGCCATTGAGTCAGATCCAACTCATAGTGACCCCTCCTTGGGTTTCCGAGGCAGTGTCACTACGGAAGTAGATTGCCCAGTCTTCGTCCGAGGAGTGGTTGGTGGGTTTGAACTACCAGGCTTCTGGTTAGCAGTCAAATGCCTTGGGCACTATGCCACCAGAGCTCCTGAGATTCAATTAGGTCACATCTTTTAAAGCCAGTAATGTATTAACTGAAGGAGCCATGGTTAAGCGCTTAGCTGATAACCCAAAGTTTGGCAGTTCAAACTCACCAGCCACTCTGAAGGTGCTCTGGTGGCATAGTGCCTAAGACATTTATTTGCTAACCAGAAGGTTGACAGTTCAAACTCACCAGCCACTCCAGGAAGGAAGACTGGACCATCTACTTCCATAAAGATTACTGCCTCAGAAACCCAAAGGAGGTCGCTATGAATCAGAATCAACTCAATAGCAGTGAGTTTGGTTTTTTGGCTTAGCCACTCCATGGGAGAAAGGTGTGGCAGGCTACTTCCATAACTATTATAGCCTTGGAAACCCTATGGAGAAGTTCTACTCTGTCTTATGGAGTTACTTTGCATTGGAATAGGCTCAACAACAGGTTTGGGATGGGTTGGTTGGTTTTAATGTGTTCTTTACTTTCTAAGAGGAGCTCTGGTGGCATAGTGCCTAAGGCATTTGACTGCTTACCAGAAGGCTGGTGGTTCAAACCCACCAGCCACTCCTCGGAAGGAAAGTTGAGCAATCTACTTCCATAGTGATACTGCCTCGGAAACCAAGGAGGGGTCATTATGAGTCAGATCCGACTCAGTGGTAGTGGTGGGTCTTTTTTTGTTATTTTTTTCCCAGTGATACCACCTCAGAAACCCAAGGAGGGGTTGCTATGAGTCAGATCTGACTTGATGGCTTTGGTTTTTTGGTTTACTTTCTAAGAGTCTTAACAAGTGGTTGTCAGTTGACAGCCTTCACTTTTTAATAGTTGCCCACCCAGGTGTGAAGGCCTTGGCCTCCCTCACCAACATTTTAGGAGGCTCACTGTAGGAATAAGAGCTAACAGTATTGTTAGAGAAGCTTTCACAAATAGTCTCCCACATGATCTGTACAACCACACTGTGCAGAACATGGGGCAGTGTCTCCAGTATGATGTTGTTGTTATGTGTTGTCGAGTCAGACCTGACTCATAGCGACCCCTCCTTGGGTTTCTGAGGCAGTATCACTATGGAAGTAGATTGCCCAACCTTCCTTCCGAGGAGTGGCTGGGGGGTTTGAACCGCCAGCCTTCTGGTTAGCTGTCAAGTGCCTTAGGCACTACGCTACCAGAGCTCCCGTCTCCAGTATACAGATTAGGAATTTAATTGCCTAAAGTCACACAGCTGAAATTTGTGAGCTGAAACAAATCCAAAGTGTGGCCCTTTTTCCTAGAATACTTTGTGAAAAGGCCATAACTTGACATATCTCATATTTAAAGGCTTAGCTAATGACTACATGATGCTCTAAAAACTGTTATATGTGATACAAATATAAGTTGCTTTGTTATAAGTAAGCCTTGGTCTACAGTTAGTCCAAGAAACTCAAAGTACAAGTACTGTTCTGTCAGTAAGGAGTATCTTCAATCTTTGTATCTAGGCTTCCATAATTTACACTCTTGGTTATTTTTCCTCCTCCCTTCCTGCTCCCCTTTCTTGGATCTTCCTCTTCTACCCAGGCCCATTCTAAATGCTGATGTTCCACAGCTCTCATGCCTGGCATGCCATCTCTCTCAGCTCATCC